CAGCTCTATCAATAGTTTAATCTGCAATTGTTCTGGTCCTTCCATAGAAGGTTCAACCTGCAATTGTTCTGGTTCTATCATAGAAGGTTTGACTTGCAGCTGTTCTGGTTCTACCAAAGAAAGTTCAACTTGCAGTTGTTCCAGTTCTATCAAAGGTTTAATCTGCAATTGTTCTGGTTCTACCATAGAAGGTTCAACTTGCAATTGATCTGGCTCTCCCATAAGAGGTTCACCTTGCAGTTCTGCTTTTGCATGTACTTCATGAACTATATCTGGCTTAACCCATATCAATTCTGGTTCAGTCACTGAAGGTTCAACCTGCATCACATTCAGTTCTACATTATCATGTGCATCCTGCACTGTATCTGGTTGTAATATAACTAGTTTTCTTTGCATCACATCTGGTTCTAACATAAGAGGTTCATGTACAATTTCTGATTCTCTACTAACAGACTCAGTAACAGGTTCTGCCTTTATCACGTCTGGTTCAGCCAGATCAACTTCTACCTGCACAATATCTGAGTTGACAACATATTCATCAAACATTGATTCTGGATCACTTGTTACATATTTAGCCTGCATCACTTCAGACTCAAAATCTTCTGATTTATCTTGTACTAGTTCTGATTCCACCAATTGTTCAACCACAGATTCATCTACTGGTAATTCTTGGTTTACTATAACTGGCTTAACCTGTGTAATTTCTAGTCCTGCAGCGATGTCTTCAACTATTCGCATTTCAGGTTCTACCAGCTCTTCTTCGTTCAGTTCATTTCTAAGGCTTACCAAGTTCATCTCATTCAAAACGGATGCTAACTCGCTAGTATGTGATTCTTTGGATAAGATCTGGTTGCTTATCAGGTCATCAGGTGGTGTAATAGAATTTTGTAGGTCTTCAAATGTAAATATGTTTGGCTCCTCTGGCATAGTCTCCTGATTCATCTTATTTTCTGGTCTTAGTGTGATCTCCTTTACCACACTTTCAGGTATTTCCATATATTCAATAACAGCTTCTGGTGCAAGAACCTCTCCTTCACCTTCAAATGATATCACAAGATCTTCAACAATACCCTCTGGTGTCAAATCGTCTTTTACTTCAGTTTCAGATACTACAAATATTTCTGTATTCTCT